GTACGTCGGATCATATTCCTTCGAAAAGAATTTATATTCGTCAATGTATTCTCTTTTTTTTGTCTCTTGCACTATTTGTCTACATATGTTGACAAGTCATAACGAAAGTCGTGTTAAGTCATAAACGAAAATATGCGCAAATTCACTGATACATATAGTATAGACTGACAGTTATCTCTCAGAGCTGAGATAATGAAAAGTAACATGATATTTTCCGTAAAATCGATGTCGATGGGTTATTAAATACATTAAATATTGTCCCAGAAAAAACGCAGAGTAATAAAATTGAAGGTTTCGATGTTTTGAAGGTCGAAACATAACATGCTTATCATGAAAATGCTACGCGTAAAGGGGAATATGAAAACACATGTTGCAATTGAATGCAGTGTAGCGCTGATATTGCTACAAAAGTGTGAACGATGTCCATTGACATTTGGTCGGTTAATGTTGTGCTGTGGTGAGATATCTATGTGTTGATGTGTGCAACACATATTTTGTTAGTATAAAGGATACATATCTAATTCTGTTGTAGCTGAACCTTTATATACACACAGCCGATTGAAATATTTCTCACATTTGAACATTCCCACTTAAACTCAGCGCGATCATTGCCTACTGACTATAGTCCGTCATCACAGTTTGCATTAATTGCGATCATGACGAATAAAGAGAATGAAAAAAAATGCCAATGTGTTACCCAGAAAATTGCAACTTCCTGATAATAAGACCTTAAAATAGACATACTTCTGGTAAAAATGTATTTTTCCAAAAAAAGCCTTACAAAAGTAGTGATATCAGATGGAAAACCTCCAGACAAGGTTGAAATGGAGTGACGCTCCGTGCGTGGATTTACCACTCAAAATGACTGATATCATTTTGAGTGACGCTAGGACGCTGTATTACTGGGAACGAAGTTCAAAAGTGTTTTTCGCATTCACTATTGTGAAAATTTACTCACAATAAGGAAAAATATCGCGTCACGACTTTTGGACGGCAAAACGCTTTAAAGCTTGACTTGAAGACTAAATTTAAAAGTCGTGACGCGATATTTTTCCGTGACGTGTCTGTTTGTGTAGTTCGGGTCGCGAAAGTATATATTCCTGTGATCTGAAACGTGAAAGGTCAGAAAAGTATTGACTTTTAACCGAATTACTACTAAAGTCCAAAAGAAAAGCGCTTCAGCCCACACCATTCCAATTGAAATAAATATTTTTCATCAAAGAAATACAATTCAAATCAACATGCCTTGTGATAACTATAAAAGTAAGCAAATGGGAATTTTTTTTGTTAATTTCAAGTGACTAATAGAATGATGAATAATTTTTATGTTGACTTACGTTGCAACTGCGCCACAGTCAAGTGCTGTGCCGACTGCAAATGTGAAATATGCTGCAAATCAAACAACAAGGAAACTTGCTGCTGCTGCTCAAAACAAGCTGCCAATTAGACGGATGTTTCAATCCCCAGTGGGAAACGTGCTATCATCGCAAATCCACCCAAAAACCAAACGATTTGTTAAAATGTCAGCAAGATCAATAAAATAAAGCTTTCAACGCCTAACTCATTTTTTTGTTTCAATTATTATTCGTGTTCCGCAATGTCCCGTATTTAGTGTTTTGGTAAATTTTCCATATTGTTGGAATAAAACATGAAACCGCAGAGAATTTTCAGAGTTAGTCTGCAGAAACTGATAAAAACTTATAAAAATGGAACGAATGAAACTAATCAATTTTTTGTCGTTTTTTTTTCATAAATTTCAGAACAAAATCATTCAGACAGTTTAAAGAAAAGAGAGAAAATTCGGGAAAAATAATCTTTCTTCTTGTTTCTTGAAGATTTGAATCAGAACTGAAAGAAATATTCAATATTTAATATTAGCTGTCGTGTCGTACGAATGAAATCTTATCAACAAAAATCTTATCGCGGATTTCAGTCTTATTGAACTGTACAGAGCTAATTGACCGAGAAGAGTACTGATGAAGAATGGAAGAATATGTCAAATAATATCAAGCAAAACCTACCTGTAGAACGAATCAATAAATAGACAAGTTTGATCTCAACTCATTACAGATTCGACATTTTTGGGTTGTATATTTGATGATATTTGTTTTTTTTAAATCAATTTGTGTTTTGCGTACAACCTGTGAGAAATAGGTGAAAATCGTACTCGGTAAACTTGGAATACTTAGCAACTTATCGAAATTGTCCAAATACACCTATAGATGATATCAAAAAGATTTGATATAGTCCACCAATAGCACACAAATTGCAAATGTTTGAAATGATAAAAATCACGAGTGGTCCTTAAACGTCGACCAATCCGTGTATTTGTCGTGTCAATTGCTTTCTGAGTAAATCATTAGTATCAAAAGACGTTTTTGTAAGCACAGTTGATGATGTTCAACCAAAGTTTGATGATATTGAACCGATGTGATTACAAAATGCAGTGAAAAAAAGTTATGTCATTGAAACGTAAATTGAATCATTCTCTCTTGTCCTTCTGAAACAATGTTAGTCCAAATAAAAAAAATGGTGTTTTAAGATAGAAAAAAATTCTAATTTTCTACCACAAAATCATCAATGTTTATTGAAAACATCTTCGAGAGTTTATTCACTCATTTTTGGTCATGAAATAATGTTTCAATGCATCGACGGCTTTGAATCGATGAGAGATGCTGTTCTTAGTTTCTTTGGGCAATTCGGCGTATGTCTTCTGGAATCCATTTGGTTGGAAGCATGGGTCCCATCCAAAATCGCGTGGACCACGTGGATCAACAATTTGACCTTCAGTCTTTCCTTGGAAGAGTAAAACCGCATCATTTTCACCGGAGGTGTAGGCAAAGGTGCACACAGCTGTGGCCGATTTGTCTTCAAATCCAGATAACATTTTGAACAATCCTTCTGGGCCGACCTTTTCCAAAAACCATTTTATATACGGACCTGTGCAACAAAATGTTGTGTAAAACCAATTAATATGGAATTCTATGAGATTGTCACTCTTACGGTTTGATTCAATTCAATCAATTGTACAATTGAATAAATTGAATTAGGTTAAACTTACCTGGCAAATCTCCGAGTGCAGTGAAACACAAACAAGTGTCTTCAACGATGACTGGTCCCTGTACGTATTTTGCAGCCTCTTTGCACTTCTTAATGCTAATGTCATTCATCTCGCCCTGCAATTCCGGCAAATCAATCTTCCGTGACACCAATTCGCGTGGAAACTCTTTGCCCAATATCGCAATAACCTCTTCGAGTTTTTTCACATTTCCAGTGATGAATGTGATTGGCTTCGACATGATTTTGAACAATACTTGACTTTATTTATTTTTCAAAATGACGAACTGATTGAGCCGAAAATAAATCGCTTATTATTTTCACAGAAAATAATTTGGAAACAATGTGTTTTTTGGTTGTCTGTCTTCATGCACTGAAACAAAAAGGTTTGCCTGTCAGAAATGTGACAGTACGACTTTGACAGCCGACCGGCTTTCCACTTACGCACACAACGATACGATACAGAACAGCTGTTTCGATTGTTTACATGTTTGAACGTACGTAGTGAGCACACATTTGAATTTTTAAATGAAATAAATCTTATGGATGGACTTCTGACTATGAAAAATTGCATTTTTTCCCAAACTCTTTTTTGTTTACTCAATAAAAATTGTGTACAAAAACCATTGCTAGTTCAATGCATTCAATAAAGTCAATTCAGTTTTCATGTACGGAAGGAAAAAATTGCGATGTGCTTCATCAATAGACAATGTAAACTTTTTCCAATACCAATAAGCAATAACCAATTCAAAACAGTTTGAAAAAATAAGTTGATATAATTTTTCTTAAAATGAGTTTATGCCATAAAAACGGCAATGTCCCAGATTGAAATAGATAACATAAGTTGTTTACAGCCTTAACAATGAGAATAACTGATAAAAGGGAATTTTTCCATGTGAAATAAAATGACAATGCATTTTTCGTAATTGAATTGCATTGATAATATATTTTTTTTAAACAAACGAAACTAACACGACCGATAACGAATAATTGTGTTGAAATTGAGTTGGAACCGATTTTTGAATTTGTCCCAATTGTCAAATCGTGTTGTGAACCATTTGTCAATTTGTCCCAAAGTGACGTGTGTCGAGTCTTCACTGTGCGTATTATTGTTCCGAGTTCCATAACAAAAATAAAGCTTTACCAGTTTTTTTTAGATAGCCATATCAAGTAATTCTGAGTGTGGCTGAAAATAATTAAAGAATGCTGCTTCATTTACCTAGCTAATTTGGAGGATAGCGATCGTCGTAGTACAATAACAAATACAGTAGTAGTACAACATTCAATGTAACTACTTTCGCTTCATATTTCCTTTGATTGTGAATTTTCAACATATTTTTGGTTCATTTTTCCAGATTCAACACCATCTACTTCAATCATATTTAATTGAATCAAAAAGTTGGAAATTTTTCGCCGAAAAAATGAGTAAAAACGAACATAAAAACCACAACGACATGGTAGTAACTGGAACGTCCGAAGAATCGCTACGGCCAATTCCCGACTTGAATATTGATTGTTTGGAGGAACTTTTTGAGTGGATTTCGTTGGCCGATTTGTTTGTAATCCGTCGAACGTGCAAACGATTCAAGCAAGCTGTGGATTATTACATCAAAACCTACTACCCGGCGGTTGGAAAAATCGAAATTTCAGACAAAAACTTCGCACAGTTCCAACGCATTGAGTCCAATTGTATCAAATTGATCAAGGGAATTCGTTTTTCAATCAAAGGCCCTGTCATTGCAGACCAAATGGAACATCTCAAAGAATGTTTCAACCAAGTGGAAGACATTCGAATAACCAATTTGAAATTTCATGGCGATTTTTACGAGGATTTTCTTAAATTTTGTCCAAAATTAAAATATTTATCCGTGCAATACTGCGATAAATTGAAAATTGGCACCGGAAATAAGTGGCTCACTCAACATTATCCCACACTTCAACACATTCATTTTGATGACAAAATATATGGTGCAGAGGAAATTTCTGAGCTGAAGACGTTTTTCAAGCTAAATCCACAAATCCGAACTTTATCGTCCACCATTTACTTTCTGCTGAAGCATACGAACTTATTTTGTGGTGCGAACATACACTTTGATTATCTGATCGTCAGTGTTAGTGGCTATTTCGAAGATGAAATGACTTGTGTTTGTAACTTGTTGAATAGGCTACATCGGTATGGATTTTACAAGCACGTAAATATCCGAGGTTTATTCTATTCCTCTGACCAAGAGGAAATCGACCTATTAGGAAGTGTTCCCGCATTGGAAAAACTGTTCATGTTTAACAGAGAAGCGGCTATACCTCATTTGCCAGATTTGAAGGAGCTTCGGTTCACTTTAAGTGGAATACCATCAGAATTGGAAGCCGCCACAAGCAACCTCAAGAATATCGAACGCATTTATTTTGAAAAAGCACCGTTTGATAGCGTTCTACTGATCGTTCAACATTTTCCGAAAGTAAAACTAATGAAAGTCGATGACATAGTGGTGGATGGAATGCATTTTAAGAAAAACGTTATTGATCTTAAGGCAATCAACAATGAACGCCGAAAATTGAATGGCGCATGCAAAATGACCATTTACGTGAAGGACACAATTTATTTGGCCACGAAATATGCAACAACGAACACACAGCTTAGTTTAATCGCACTGAAACGATCTGAAACACACGAATGGGAACATGATTATTATTAAAAATTTGGATTTTGATGGAATGTGTAAATTTATAAGTAAAATTGCTGTATTATACCAACTTATTTTCAGAAATTTTAACATTTTTTATAATAAAACGATCAATCATTTGCAATCGATTTCAAATATTTTTTTAATTAAATCAATTATCTTGGATTTGATTGGGGAGTAACACAGAGGTTACTCGTCGCGTAGGTCATTGACCTAAATTATCTTAGAAAGGAGTGAAATTTGAACGTTTTTCCAAAAACGTTTTTTTTTTTGTTCGATGTTATCGAATTGAAATTCATCATCAACATTACCTAGTTATCACTATATGTCAAAAATTCGTTCTTATTTAATTCAGCTCTCACTGCCACTTCAACATGAAGCAATGAATGGAAACAAAGGAAATTGTTTGTCGCTTTTACAAAATTAAGAAATATTTCAATCGAACTAATTGAAATTAAATATCAAAATATCATACGATGCTGACATCTGAATTGCTTGTGTCATTATGAAATATTTATTATTCGTAATTTAAAAAAAATAACACATGAATTCATGTCGAAAAAGTCACCAGATTCCCCGAAAAGTTTGGCCGAATATTTGGCATTGAAAAAAATGTTCAGGCAACGATGGAAGTGCGGACAACAGCGAGAGTCAGTCGAAAGAAACCAATAAAAAGAAAAGTAAACACAAAGTTTTAAAAATTATGCGAATGAAACAAAAAAACAGATCTAAATGGAATTTCGTATTTGATTATGATATCCATGTCTTAGGCAAAAAAAAATCAAAATCGATGAGGAATGTGTTGAAATTCCATCGGGATCATCTTCGAAGTTGAAAGTCCAAATGTAAAGTTCAACGTTCGAGTATGCGATTAACACAGAAGTGGAATATTGATTGTCACTCCCTTTTCGATTTCAGCAAAATATGAATCAAAGATAATCCCTATTTTAAGCTATGCGTGTAAATAATGATTAATTTCTTGCAGAAGCGTTTTAATCAACTCATATAATCTATATAATTTCGTGTGTCAGAATAAAGAGGAGAAATAAATTGGAATTTTACACACTCAGAAACCATGTGGTTTATTTGTCCCGTAAACTTTTTTCTAAACAATAAAAAGAATTACATTGGTAGTCCCGAACTTTTCCGTACCGTTGGCCTGCGTTGTCCGTAGGTACTTTTGGTTATTCTTTGTGAATTTTCTTGAAATAAAGGCAGTGAAAATATAATAATAAAAATAAAGTGAAAAATCGGTCACTTTAACTAAAACTTCGACAATTTTGAATGAGAGGTACCCGTAAACCGATTCTTATTGGCTTTAAACTTTCTGAGGTTTCATTTTTTGGAGAAAAAATAAGATTCTGAAAGTTTCATGTGGATTGCATTAGCAGAAGTTTGGTTTTTGGCCCTCAATTTTTTCCAAGAAAATGTCGGCCGAAATTGAGGACAAAAAATCATATACAAAATTGTCCAAAAATCGGTAATTTTAGTCAAAATTTCAAAAATTTTGTATGTGAGGTACCCGTAAATCAATTCCGATTGGTTTCAAATTTTCAGAATCTTATTTTTCTCCCAAAAAATGAAATCAGAAAATTTGAAGCCAATCGGCGTCGATTTACAGGTACCTCCCATACAAAAGTGTCACTTTTTTGAGTTTTTTCTTAGAGCAAGTACCCCAGGATCAAATCGGAAATGGCTCATCTTCGAACTTAAACTAAGTTTTCCGAATACAAAACTTTTGGCATTTCCAGATTTTGATTACCTCAAATATTTTTTGAGTTATCGTCTTAAAAAACAGCTACGACGACGACAACGACGACAACGACGACGGCACACGAACGGAAAAGTGTCTCAAAAAGTGATTTTCTACGCGTTTCATGAGTTTTTATGATGATCCAAGCTAATTTTGCGAAAAAAGTTTTCGGGACCAATTCCTATACTTTCCCTTGACACGTTGTGTACGGAAAAGTAAAATGAGGGTTTTTGTGTAGCAAATTTATTTTAAATTCAGAATATTCGTTAGAAATCTAATGATATTGGTTTTGATGCTGAATCAAACAATGCAAACTAACCTAATTTTGGCGTTTACTTTTACACTCAAACCATATTTTGGCTAAGTTCGTCGATCACGCGCATTGACAGTGTAAATAAACGTTGAATCAACGAACTTAATAATATGGTTTGAGTGTAAAAGTAAACGCCAAAATTGGGTTAGTTTGCATTGTTTGATTCAGCATCGAAACCAATATCATTAGATTTCTAACAAATATTCTGAAATTGAATAAATTTGCTACACAAAAACCCAATTTTTTTGTAGAAAAGAGTTGACTCCACAAGTACGGGAGAAATAAACCACATGGTTTATGAGTGTGTACTTATAAACTGATGTTTCATACATAATTTATTTTGATTATAGTTATGAGTCAGATGTTTTCAGTGTTGTATTTGCTTGAATAATTTCCGCTATAAATATCGTAATCATTTATGAGACAGACACAGTTGGTCTTTTGTTGCGTTGGTGAAGAAAGTGATCTGAATTATAAGAAAGAATTTGTTACGAACATCATTGAATTCAACATGCACAGTCAAGCGACTAAAAATATCAAAGGATATCAGCTTTTAGTCAATTTGTGCATAAGACTCGCACATAATTGGCAAT